GTGTAGAAGGACTTCCTATCCAGCTAGAAGTTGTAGCAGCAGCAGCTCCTTTGGGGCCGTGATGTGTTCTGCTCAGTTACAGAGTCAGGGGAAGGGCTTTCAGTGATAGGGTAAGCTCGTTCAGGGCCTTTTTTGGGGTGGCTCCTGAAAGCTTTATTGAAGACACAAGTGCTCAGTTCCTCAGTTACACCCCTTCCCCGTGCCGGCCCGGCCCCACCTCTGGGCGGGTGGAATCTGAGCTCTCCTCCGGCTGCCTTGTGTTGAAGCTGCTGTGAACTCCAGAAGCAGCCTTCAGGAGTCTCCCGCCAGCCCGCTGCCCGCGGGCGCCTTGCCTACTCAGCACTCTGCCTCGTCCTGAGCACAGACGGGAAGGAAAACACTTCCTCTGTTCTGTTGCTGCCTCACCCCCACTTAGGATGGGGGCAAGGAAAATCCCTTTTTGTCACCATGAAAGTCACACAGGGTCTGGACAGCCCTGTGATTGCATTATACCTCTGTAGTTACAGGAAGCTCCCCAGTGGCCTGCATCCTGCAGACAGCTCTCCGGTAGAGGGCTGTGTTGTGGCCGTACGCTCAGGGCCCGGCGGGGACAGAGGATAGATAGTGACAGGTCGGGACACGGTCTGAGCAGAGCAGCAGGCCCCTGGCTGCGGAGGGGGACACTCGCCAGCTCCAGCACGTTTTCTTCCTGTGTGAGCCTGGAGGGCTTGGGCCTCCCCACACACAGGCTGCATGCCCACTGCCAAGCAGGGACCAAAGAGGCGAGAACAGGTAGGAGTGTGTCTTACCTGAGCCCCGAACTGTGCTTTGACTGGACGAGGGTCATTTCAGATGGAAGCGTCTCTGTGATCACTTGGTATGAATAAAATAAACATGGAAATGAAGTATTATGTATTTAGAAAGGGACTTTTCCAAATACCTTTCTGGCCTCTGAAAGCTGCTTTTCTGTGAACTGGAAGTTGTCTGATGCACAGCCGCCGGCTCTGGAGCCAGTCTCAGTTGTCTGAAAGTCTCTCCTAACCTGTGCGCAGGAGGACTGGAAAGTCTGACGTCCTCCCAGAAATCCGGCTTCAGTGGGGTCGTAGGGCTCTCAGTGGGGTTGAGGGTGTTGGCACAGTCGCCAAGGATGCACCCATTCTAAGGGCTCTCTTACTACCTGTGACCGTGAAGGCCTGCTGGCCAGCCAGTCTGGGCTGGAGGGCATGGTCACCATGCCCCTCACTTGCCGCTCTGGGCCTGGGCCCGGTGGGGTGGGGCCCGGGGGCGTGGGCTCTGCCTTGGTCTGGAATGCGGGTGCACACTTGCACATGTGTGCTGTCTTAAGTGATTCTGTTGCTGTCGTTCATTAGTTGACTTCACACAGCTGCTTCTCCAGAAAGATGGCGTTCTAATTATAGTCGCTCAAGAATTAGTGGAATGTTCTCCTGCCTCGGCAGATGCGAGTGTACACACTTCTCTGTCTTCCCTTGCCCTGCTCATAAAGAGCATGAGCGTGAGTGTGGGGCTTCCAAGGACTCCCCCTGATGCCACACCCCCAGGGTAAACTGCCTCCCCCATCCCTCTGCAGGCGACAGGGTGCGGGGGGCAGCCTCCCTCTTCTGATTGCGTCAGCTCTTGGCTCTGCACCCTGTCTGTAATCACCAGCCAGGTAGCTGCTCCTTCAGTGTGTGGGGGGTCATGTTTAACTTGCAGATGGTGGTAAACAGCCAAGGCTGACCTTCTCCTCCGGTCTCCCAGTCCTTGATTGTGGGCGACCGCCACTTTCCTCATCTCTCCAGGAACAGGCATCAACTGTGACAGAGTGGAGTGACACTGACTCCGCTTATATGGAGTATGCCTGTTTTCTCTTTTAATTGGTATTTCAGAATTACTGTATGTTCACTGTAGCAAATTAAGAAAAAGCAGAGAAGCAAAAGCAAGAAAATAAGAGGTGTTTCATAGTCATACTCTTTTTCTATACATGTGTTCTTGGTTGTGTTTTGTTTCCAAAACATATTATGTATACACCAGTGTACCATCTGGTGGGTTCTTTTCCACTCAACATTGTATTGTCTTTCCACACTATCATATATTCCTGTTCTGGGTTTTCTTAATAGTAGTATAATGGTCCATTATTTGATTCTATCATAATTTATATAATCAGTACCTAGTTCAGTTCAGTCACTCAGCCGTGTCTGACTCTTTGTGACCCCATGAACCGCAGCACACCAGGCCTCCCTGTCCATCACCAACTCCCAGAGTTTACCCAAACTCATGTTCATTGAGTCAGTGATGCCATCCAACCATCTCATCCTCTGTCATCCTCATCTCCTTCTCCTTCTGCCCTCAATCTTTCCCAGCATCAGGGTCTTTTCAAATGAGTCAGCTCTTCACATCAGGTGGCCAAAGTATTGGAGCTTCAGTTTAAACATCAGCCCTTCCAATGAACACCCAGGACTGATCTCCTTTAGGATGGACTGGTTGGATCTCCTTGCAGTCCAAGGGACTCTCAAGAGTCTCCTCCAACACCACAGTTCAAAAGCATCAATTCTTCAGTGCTCAGCTTTCTTTATAGTCCAACTCTCACATCCATATATGACTACTGGAAAAACCATAGCCTTGACTAGACGGACCTTTGTTGACAAAGTAATGTCTCTGCTTTTTAATATGCTGTCTAGGTTGGTCATAACTTTCCTTCCAAGGAGTAAGTGTCTTTTAATTTCATGGCTGCAATCACCATCTGCAGTGATTTTGGAGCCCTGAAAAATAAAGTCAGTCACTGTTTCCACTGTTTCCCCATCTATTTGCCATGAAGTGATGGGACCAGATGCCATGATCTTAGTTTTCTGAATGTTGAGCTTTAAGCCAACTTTTTCACTCTCCTCTTTCACTTTCATCAAGAGGCTCTTTAGTTCTTAACGTTCTGCCATAAGGGTGGTGTCATCTGCCTGTCTGAGGTTATTGATATTTCTCCCGGCAATCTTGATTCCAGCTTGTGCTTCCTCCAGCCCAGTGTTTCTCATGATGTACTCTTCATGTAAGTTAAATAAGCAGGGTGACAATATACAGCCTTGATGTACTCCTTTTCCTATTTGGAACCAGTCTGTTGTTCCATGTCCAGTTCTAACTGTTGCTTCCTGACCTGTATCAGTACCTAGTAGTGAATATTTAATTCTGGAATATTGACTGGTCTGATTTTATCTGTGACATAGAATGCTGCAGTGACCATTCTTTGTGGCTTAATTTTTTTACATATCCATATTATTTTCCTTGGGTTAAATTGTTATAAAATATATGCAGGTATTTAAGGCTTTTGATGTGAACTGACAAGTAGTCATCTTTTAGAAAGACTCCCCAAATCATTGCTTCCCTTCATCATGGAAGTCTGAAAGTTTCTGCTTTTATTACCATCAGAACTGGAGAACTTCCAGTGATTATTGACCATTGGTTTTTACATTTGTGAATTTCTTTGGGTTTTTTTTTTTTTTGGTGTGTTCACCTTTTTCTAGTTTTTGTGTTTTTTCAAAGAACGCTTGTTCCATGAAGGAAGTTAATACCATGAAGGGTATTAACTCTTTGCCTTAGCATACTTGTTGAGGTTGCTGGGCAGGGCATTTTGAGTTGGAGAGGCTTTGCAATCTGATCTAGGGGCACACTGCCATGTTGCCCCACTTTCTTCCATTGCTGCCTCCTCTGTAATTTTAGAAATAGTTGTTCATGATGAAAGCCTGAACTTCTCATGTGACACAAGTAGGTCCTACCCAGGAGTGCATCAGCAGGAGAATGGGCGAAGGAATTGTGGGTTTATCCATACACTGGAACACAACTCATCAACAGCAAGGATCACACAGAGACACAGCCATTTACACTGAACAAAAGATGATGGATGAATGGAGACAAAGAGTGGATTAGTGGCTGTGAGGGACCACCTAAAGGTGCAAAGTTTCTTTTGGAAGTAATAAAGAGCCCCGAAGTTGATTGTGTTGGTGGTGCACAACACTGTGGACAGACTAAAAACCACTGGATTGCACACTTTAAATGGCTGGATTTTATGGCATAAAGCTGTTCAGAAAAAGAAGATAGACACAAAAGAATACATACTGTGTGGTTCCACTTATATCGAGTTCTAGGCAGAAGTGATCCAAGAAACAGAAGTGAGAAAGTAGTCAGTTAGGGTGGGGCAGATGGACTAGAGAGTGGTGGAAACATTTTGTTTGGGGTTTTTTTTTTAATTATTTATTTGACTCTGCTGGGTCTTAGTTGCGGCATGTGGGATCCAGTTCCCTGACCAGGGATCGGACCCCGGTCCCTTGCATTGGGAGCACAGAGTCTTAGCCACTAGACCACCAGGGAAGTCTCCCATTCTGTATTTTTTGAGTGGTTCTTATATGGTATATATAGCCATCAAAACTCATCAAAGTCAGGGGAAATGCATTCTCATTGAAAGAAAACTAAGTAAACCCTAATTGGTTTTTTTTTTTTTCCTCCTATTAAAAAAACTTATTTCTGAAGTCATTTCTCTACTGGGTGATAAGCCCTGAACTTTCTATCCAGTGACAAAGATCCCCACCCATCATCTCTCGGTACCCACAGATGCTGCACCCACAGACAGCTCACTCTGGGAAACCACCTTCCCCCAGACCACAGGCTTGATCATTAGTAGGCAGCGTCCTGGCTTCAGAGAATTCAGAGCAGGTCTTCCTCCACAAACCGACTGGGAGTCACTGCCAGGAGTTTGTGTGATGAATTTAGTCATTCCGAGACAGTGGGCTGGTCATTTCCCCTTTCCAAGAGGAAGTGTCTTTATGCATGCGAAACGTCTCTGCACGTTGTGGAGGTGTTTTAGGTGGGTAGGGCATGCTTTGGGAAGTCATGCAGATTACCTGAGTCAAACATTGCTCACCCATAGGGTGAGTGGGGACTCCGGGTGGTGGAGGGCAGACAGCTGGCCCACCTTGTCAGGACATTCAGCGTGAGGAGCTCTCCTCATGTCTCACCTCATTTCTCTTGTGTGGGGGTAGGAGCTGGTCAGACTCACCATCGAGAAGCAGGGGCATCCGTCTCCAACAAGCCCCGTGAAACCCAGCTCCCCAGCCTGCAAACCTGACAGGTGAGTGCTAACTAAACCCTCCAGGGGTTGCGGTCTCGGTTGGTGGGCACTTGAGAAAGAAGGGAGCCCCCGCCAGGCAGACCGTGCCCTGTGAGGCCCATGGTCCCCCAGATCACCGTGAAGTGTGTGTAGCTCACACCTATCTTGAATGATTGTCTGGTCTCAAGATGGTCTTCTCTCAGGACACTGTGTGATGTGCAGAGTGACCCCACCTACACTCTTCTTGACCTGCTTCCTCCCATAATGAGAAACAACTTTGAAGGGTTGGGTTTTAGGGGTTTGGCTTGAGAGCATTACTGAGGGTGATGTGGACAGTTTAAGGCCTTGCAATAATTTCTACTCGCAGCCCCTAGTGAAGAAAATAACACCTTCATTTAGTGGCATTTTCAAGCATCATGCAGTCCAGAGATCTCTCTCACAGATGAGATGAAAGTGCAGACTCAGGGACTGTGGCCACGCTTCCATGGGTGATCAAACTGGACTTGGAACCCCATCTCTGCCATGGAGCCCAGGGCATAGTGTCAGCTCTGTGTCCTGGGCCCCTTGGACACTTCCCTGCCCCAGTCACATCCTGACACTCTCAGGCTCTGCGCTTGTCCTGGGGCCTTCTGTAACTCCGAGTTCTCCTCAACCCTCCAGCCAGTCTGAGCTCCCCCTGACAGATCGAGAGATGGAGATTCTAAACAAGACAACCGGCCTGTCACAGTCGACCGAGGGGCTCCCAGACTCTATGGACGAAGAGGTTGCACCCCCCAAGCCCCCCTTACCTGGCATTAGGGTGGTTGATAACAGGTACTTTTCTATTTTCCTAGCTCTCTCATGTCTTTCCGTGGTAATTTCACAAACGGATGGTGCCAGCCAAAAAGATGGTGCCATTAGGGGAAGAACTTGCTCTTCAGGCACGTTGGTGGTTTGACCTTCCTCGGGACAGCTGTCTCCAGAGGACAGGAGTCTGGCCCAGTGCCGGCCCCTCGCCCTCCCCTGCCCCCTCGCCCTGAGAACTCCCAGCCGCTGCCTTTTAGCCCTAGCCAAGCAGAACCTGGTACCATTTGTCATGAAAGGAAAAAGCAGGGACTTTCAGATGCTAGGCTTTTGGCAGAAGGGGAGTGGGATGGGAGTTGAAAGTGTGGAAAGTAGGATCAGTGTCTAATAATGCAAGAACCCCACATCCCACACCCTAGCATCTGTGTAAAGGATTTTTGTTCAGGTTGTGTGGTTTGATGGGGTTCCTTGCTGTTTCAGTCCTCCACCAGCACTGCCCCCGAAGAAGAGACAGTCGGCTCCATCCCCCACCCGCGTGGCCGTCGTGGCCCCCATGAGTCGAGCCACCAGCGGCTCCAGTTTGCCTGTTGGAATTAATAGGCAGGTAATTAGCCCCATCCAGAAAGGCAGAGGTCGGTCTCAGGTCTGGTGCATTGGTTCCTAAAACTGAAAGAAGCCCCGTGGTCTTCAGTCCCTGTCTTTGGTCACAGGGAGGGGCTCTCTCCCTGGGCAGCCCCCGTTCCTGAATGGTCCTTCCCTCCACAGGCCATGGTGGGGTTCCCTCCCAGGGTGGGGAGACGGGGCCCAGCCCAGGGCCTCCCTTGATCAGAGCACTCCGAGCACCTGTAGAGGCCCCTTTTCTCAGAGGCGCCGTGCGCGTGGTGTTTACTGCCTGCAGCCAGTTTCTGCACATCCCAGTGTTTCCTTTGCCGAGTGTATGCACCAGCTCCCTCCCCTGGGCTCAGCCGCCACCCCCCAGCAGTGACTTGGCCTGTTCTCACTTTGCACACGAGGACTTTGACGTGGACTGTTATGCACAGAGACGGCTGTCGGGAGGCAGCCACTCGTACAGCGGTGAGTCTCCCCGCCTGTCGCCCTGCAGCAGTATCGGCAAGCTCAGCAAGTCGGATGAGCAGCTGTCCTCTCTGGACAGGGACAGCGGGCAGTGCTCCCGGAACACAAGCTGTGAAACACTAGGTGAGCCATGGGCATGCGCGTCGCCACCGCCAGCTCTGCACTTCCCGGTGGCTCCTGTGAGGTCAGATGCTGAGGCCAGTCACTGGCTCTGTTGGGCTTCAGATCACTCGGGATCTGAGCCATGGTGTCCTCTTTGCAGAGTGAGAATACCAGAGACTGTCTCCGAAGGGGGTTGGAAGTTTACTGCAGTGACATGGTGAGACTGCAGAGACACGGCAGCGGTCACTGTTCTTACAGTTGGTCCGCCAGCGTGTCACTCGGCTCCCTTTGCTCAAGGGGAGCCCACGCGCTCAGAACTGTAAACGGAGGGGAGGGCCCCGGGCAGCTTCTGACAGAGGACAAAGGCAAGTGAGCAGTCTGTGCTGACCTCAGGTGGTGGGGCCACAGGAGGGTCTGCAGGCAGCTTGGCAGAGGTGTACAGAGCGCTGAACTGTTCACGTCCCGTGAACTAGACATTTCACTTCTGAGAGTTTTTGTCTTAGGAACACAGTCAGAGGTTTATAGGAGGATTTCTGTGTAGAGACATTAATCTCAGCATCCTGAAGAGCCCTGGTAAACTGGGAACAACCTGATCACTCAGTGTAGGAAATCATCAGACTTGTGACATGCCCCCTTGGAGGAACAGTACGCTGTGCTAAAATCCAGTGGACCAAGCCAACACTGCTTATATGGTGTTTTCTCAGAGTTTAAAAAACAGAATCCAGGGGGAAAAAACTTTGCAGGTAATACATCTAGTGGTCAGCAGAGATTACAGTTAGGTTATGGGACTGTGGGTGATTTTTGTTTTCACCATATGGTTTTTGGCCATGTTTTCTACAGTGGTCATGCATGTTTTTCTTTTAGGTAAAACTTTTAAAAATCTGGGAAAGTGTGAAGAATAGGCTACCTACCAGTCATACTCCCCTCCTGTTTTACTTTTATAAGCAGTAGAAAAGTGCAGCCTATATAGTAAAGTGGTAGTCTCTGTGGATGAGACGGGAGACGTGTCCCATGAATAGGACGGGTCAGGGAAGAGGAGAGGGTCTTTCCTTTCTGTGGGGGGGCCAGGGGCTCATGGTGTGCTTTCCCTGTTGTGTGGATGCAGATCATTACGATCCTGACTACGAGTTCCTTCAGCAAGACCTCTCCAATGCAGACCAGATACCTCAGCAAGTGGCCTGTAACCTCAGCCCGCTGCCGGAGTCCTTGGGGGAGTCTGGGTCTCCATTTCTCGGCCATCCTCTCCAGCTGCCTCTGGGCAGCTGTTCCCAGCCAGATGGGTCCTCGGCGCCCGGGCAGCAGACGGACGTGCCGCCAGCCCTGCCTGAGAAGAAGCGCAGGAGTGCGGCCTCCCAGACCTTGGACAGCTCTGGCTGCCGGGCGTCCTACGAGCGACACCCCTCGCAGTACGACAACATCTCCGAGGACGACCTGCAGAACCCAGCCTCCGTCCAGTCCGTCCCCTTCACGCCCTTTGCTGCTATTCTTCCCTTTCAGCAAGGAGGTTCCTCAGCCCCTGTCGACTTCGTGGGTGATTTCACTGTTTCTGAATCAACGGGTGACCCAGAAAAACCGCCGCCTCTCCCCGAGAAGAAAAACAAACACAGTAAGCTTTTGTTACACTATTGTGGGGTCGTGCCTTTTGTGCCCTAAAATGGTGTTGCGTTTATTGAAACAGTAGATCAGAGTCAAACCAGTGGCCTCATCGTTTCATGAAAGGCAGGACCCACACGTACAGGGACACTTATGGGAGCCTTGTGTTGTCAGTACTGGGGGTTGTTCTTCAAGCCTGGTGAGCTGACCTCTCCTCATGGTCTCAGCAGAACCTCAGGCCTGGTCTCCGCAGAGTGTTTGGCCTTTCACGTGGCAGTCAGCTGACCTGGCCTGAACATGTGGTGACTGAGAGAAACAGGGACTGCAGCCTCAGGACAGCGTCACAGCAGCGTCGGGGCAAAGCAGGGCAGACACCACCTCAGGGCCTTTCTGAGGCTCCTGACAGTTCTCTCCGTTAGAGAGAACCCCCTGGCCCCACTCTGTCTTCTGTTCACAGACCCTGAAGTATCACGTGATGACTTGAGTCTGGGGTTGTTGGTTGGACCAGAGGCTCTGATACATGATGTGATCAGGGCCTGGGGGTAGAGCTGAATTTCGGGGCTTTGTATTCTGAGCATTTCCCAAGTGTGAATTGGCCATCCAGTTCCCAAGCAGCATTGTGCAGAATTTGCTTTTCTGCTCACTCCCCGACTGCTCCACGTGGCCCGACTCTCTGCCCACCCTCTCCCCACGTCACCTGCAGGGTTCTGCCTTGTTTTCTGTGGGCAGACTGGCTACCACCGTCTCTCTGTGTGCGGCCGCGTCAGCCCACCATCCAGGATGCCCTGGCCTCGTGGGAGTGTCCAGCAGGGGACTGCTGTGACCTGGCTGTGGAACCCGCGCTCCAACCCCAGACGATCGTGTGTGCTTGGCCTGTGCCCAGAAGGGGTGACCACCCTGGATGCCCCCAGCTCGGGTAGTGGCCTCAGTGTGAAGGGAGAGCTCGCTTCGCAGGGCTGAGGGTGTCATTCCTGTCTGTCATGGAAGTTCCCTCACGGGAAGCTGGGGGCATGGAGGGACCTGCAGACAGCTGCGCCAGGGGCATTTCCTTCTGCGCCTCTCCAGGTGTCCTGAAAGCCTGACTGGTTTAGCTCTCCAGTTAAGCCAACTTTCTGGTTATCTGAAAACACAGAAGACCGCCCTGCAAACTTGTCTTTGCCGTGGTCTTAATGTTTGAACCCAGGGTGCTTGTGGTGCCGAGCTGTGACTAAAGGGGACACCCCCACTCCAGACCGACATGGCTGTGTCCCCCGGGGCCCCGGGGCTCCTCTGCTTCGGATCCGGCCTCCTTTCCTCTCTGGCCCCATCACCCCTTCACTCCCTCCCAGGGCATGCACGGTCACACTGAGTAGGTCAGTACTTACTCCTGATGGGGCGTCACAGGGCATGGAAGCACCCTACCTGCCAAGCACACGTGTACAGAGGCCGCGGAGACCGGAGCTCCTGCCACCCTCTGGAGGAGGGGAGGGCGGGGCGTGTCCGGTCCACTCCGGTAGATCGGGGTTACCCAGAGGGCTTCTGTTCTGGTCCAGCCCTCCCTGCTTCATAAGGCCCCCAGGTTCAGTCAGCTCCAGCAGTCACTTCATCAGGACCCTCCAGGGTCTTAGGAAGGCCTGGCTCTGAAGATGGGGCTGGTCCCTCCCTCACCACCGGAAGTCAAAAGTGAAGTCTATTCTGATGCGCCTGCGTGAGGAGAGGGAGTGCGGCCCACATGGACGCCTCCGCGTGAGGTGAGAGTGCGGTCCACACGGACGCCTCCGCGTGAGGTGAGAGTGTGCGGCCCACACGGACGCCCCCGCGTGAGGAGAGGGTGTGCGGTCCACAGGACGCCCCCGTGTGAGGAGAGGGAGTGCGGTCCACACGGACGCCCCCGCGTGAGGAGAGGGTGTGCGGTCCACAGGACGCCCCCGCGTGAGGAGAGGGAGTGCGGCCCACACGGACGCCCCCGCGTGAGGAGAGGGTGTGCGGTCCACAGGACGCCCCCGCATGAGGTGAGGGTGTGCGGCCCACACGGACGTCCCCGCGTGAGGAGAGGGTGTGCGGTCCACAGGACGCCCCCGCGTGAGGAGAGGGAGTGCGGTCCACAGGACGCCCCCGCGTGAGGAGAGAGAGTGCGGTCCACACGGACGGCCCCACGTGAGGAGAGGGAGTGCGGCCCACATGGACGCCTCCGCGTGAGGTGAGGGTGTGTGGCCCACACGGACGCCCCCGCGTGAGGAGAGGGTGTGCGGTCCACAGGACGCCCCCGCGTGAGGAGAGGGAGTGCGGTCCACAGGACGCCCCCGCGTGAGGAGAGGGAGTGCGGCCCACAGGACGCCCCCGCGTGAGGAGAGAGAGTGCGGTCCACACGGACGGCCCCACGTGAGGAGAGGGAGTGCGGTCCACAGGACGCCCCCGCGTGAGGAGAGGGAGTGCGGTCCACAGGACGCCCCCGCGTGAGGAGAGGGAGTGCGGTCCACACGGACGCCCCCGCGTGAGGAGAGGGTGTGCGGTCCACAGGACGCCCCCGCGTGAGGAGAGGGAGTGCGGCCCACACGGACGCCCCCGCGTGAGGAGAGGGTGTGCGGTCCACAGGACGCCCCCGCATGAGGTGAGGGTGTGCGGCCCACACGGACGCCCCCGCGTGAGGAGAGGGAGTGCGGCCCACACGGACGCCCCCGCGTGAGGAGAAGGAGTGCGGTCCACACGGACGGCCCCGCGTGAGGAGAGGGAGTGCGGTCCACAGGACGCCCCCGCGTGAGGAGAGAGAGTGCGGTCCACAGGACGCCCCCGCGTGAGGAGAGGGAGTGCGGTCCACACGGACGGCCCCACGTGAGGAGAGGGAGTGCGGCCCACATGGACGCCTCCGCGTGAGGTGAGGGTGTGCGGCCCACACGGACGCCCCCGCGTGAGGAGAGGGTGTGCGGTCCACAGGACGCCCCCGCATGAGGTGAGGGTGTGCGGCCCACACGGACGCCCCCGCGTGAGGAGAGGGAGTGCGGCCCACACGGACGCCCCCGCGTGAGGAGAAGGAGTGCGGCCCACACGGACGCCCCCGCGTGAGGAGAGGGAGTGCGGTCCACAGGACGCCCCCGCGTGAGGAGAGAGAGTGCGGTCCACACGGACAGCCCCACGTGAGGAGAGGGAGTGCGGCCCACATGGACGCCTCCGCGTGAGGTGAGGGTGTGCGGCCCACATGGACGCCCCCGCGTGAGGAGAGGGTGTGCGGTCCACAGGAGCCCCCGCGTGAGGAGAGGGAGTGCGGTCCACAGGACGCCCCCGCGTGAGGAGAGGGAGTGCGGCCCACAGGACGCCCCCGCGTGAGGAGAGAGAGTGCGGTCCACACGGACGGCCCCACGTGAGGAGAGGGAGTGCGGTCCACAGGACGCCCCCGCGTGAGGAGAGGGAGTGCGGTCCACAGGACGCCCCCGCATGAGGAGAGGGAGTGCGGCCCACACGGACGCCCCCGCGTGAGGAGAGGGAGTGCGGTCCACAGGACGCCCCCGCGTGAGGAGAGGGAGTGCGGCCCACAGGACGCCCCCGCGTGAGGAGAGAGAGTGCGGTCCACACGGACGGCCCCACGTGAGGAGAGGGAGTGCGGTCCACACGGACGCCTCCGCGTGAGGTGAGGGTGTGCGGCCCACACGGACGCCCCCGCGTGAGGAGAGGGAGTGCGGTCCACATGGACGCCTCCGCGTGAGGTGAGGGTGTGCGGCCCACACGGACGCCCCCGCGTGAGGAGAGGGTGTGCGGTCCACAGGAGCCCCCGCGTGAGGAGAGGGAGTGCGGTCCACAGGACGCCCCCGCGTGAGGAGAGGGAGTGCGGCCCACACGGACGCCCCCGCGTGAGGAGAGGGAGTGCGGTCCACAGGACGCCCCCGCGTGAGGAGAGGGAGTGCGGTCCACAGGACGCCCCCGCGTGAGGAGAGAGTGCGGTCCACACAGACGGCCCCACGTGAGGAGAGGGAGTGCGGTCCACAGGACGCCCCCGCGTGAGGAGAGGGAGTGCGGTCCACAGGACGCCCCCGCGTGAGGAGAGGGAGTGCGGCCCACACGGACGCCCCCGCGTGAGGAGAGGGAGTGCGGTCCACAGGACGCCCCCGCGTGAGGAGAGGGAGTGCGGTCCACAGGACGCCCCCGCGTGAGGAGAGGGAGTGCGGTCCACACGGACGGCCCCACGTGAGGAGAGGGAGTGCGGTCCACACGGACGCCTCCGCGTGAGGTGAGGGTGTGCGGCCCACACGGACGCCCCCGCGTGAGGAGAGGGAGTGCGGTCCACATGGACGCCTCCGCGTGAGGTGAGGGTGTGCGGCCCACACGGACGCCCCCGCGTGAGGAGAGGGTGTGCGGTCCACAGGAGCCCCCGCGTGAGGAGAGGGAGTGCGGTCCACAGGACGCCCCCGCGTGAGGAGAGGGAGTGCGGCCCACACGGACGCCCCCGCGTGAGGAGAGGGAGTGCGGTCCACAGGACGCCCCCGCGTGAGGAGAGGGAGTGCGGTCCACAGGACGCCCCCGCGTGAGGAGAGAGAGTGCGGTCCACACGGACGCCCCCGCGTGAGGAGAGGGAGTGCGGTCCACACGGACGCCTCCGCGTGAGGTGAGGGTGTGCGGCCCACACGGACGCCCCCGCGTGAGGAGAGGGTGTGTGGTCCACAGGACGCCCCCGCGTGAGGAGAGGGAGTGCGGTCCACACGGACGCCCCCGCGTGAGGAGAAGGAGTGCGGTCCACAGGACGCCCCCGCGTGAGGAGAGGGTGTGCGGTCCACACGGACGCTTCGGCGTGAGGAGAGGGCTCCGGCAACGGCACCACATGGGGCCAGCGGAAGGAGCAGGCGGCTCCCCGGTCCGAGGGCAGGTCCAGGGCTCGGGCTGCCTGAGGGGCTTCTCGGGAGGAGAGGGTCTGTGCGCCTCCTGAGCACTTCTGCTCTCAGCGTCCGTCCCTCTGGAGGAGGAGTTTCCCGACAGCCTTGTCGGAAGTGGAGAACAGCGTTCTCTCGGACCGGAGGCTCTTGCCTCCCTGCAGGGGCTCTGCAAGACCCGCAGGGGCTGCAGGCCGCTTCAGCACTGCAGGGCCGGATGCCGGACCACGGGTTCTGTTGGCGCGTCGGTTCTGTGAACCTCTGTGCGAGGCTCCGGTGATAGAGCTGCAGACGGGAGGCACTGGGTCCCGTCCTCGGGCAGCAGCTTCTGCCCTCAAGCGAGAAGCAGTAAATTCTCTTGTCCCCTATTTGACGATTTTTCCTGATCCAGACCATTCTCGCTGTCCCCACCCCTATGGAGGTCTTTCACCTGAACAGCCTCAGCCCCCTAAAGTGTCTTCTCCCGGCTTCTCAAGACAGGCAGCTCCTGGGGTGGGGCCTTCCGTGGTTCAGACCCCATCCTTGCCCGGTTCACACAGCCCCGCGCACCATGAGGGTCCCCGCGGAGCACTGCCCTGTGGACCCTGGTCCCAGCCAGGGGCCTCTGCCCCTCCTGGAACTCTTCCACCCGTCCTCACCGTATTCTGGAGACAACCCCCTCGCTTCCCTGTTTCACCATCCTCTGTGGGACACCCCCTATCTCGGCCTGTTTTCTGTCTTCCTGTGGAGGGGGTCAGCCCCCCATGGGTGAAAGAACCATTGCTGGCCCCTGCGGAGTGCCAGCACCTCGGTCAGCGCCTGACCTGGAGCAGGTGCTCAGTGACGATCAGATGAATGTGAGAAACCCAGCTAGCTCGTGAGAAGCCGTGAGGAGGGCTCAGGAAGGAAGGAGCGCGGGGCTGAGAGGGGCTCCTGGGGCGGGGACGCGGTGAGGGGCCTCCGTGAACGCCAGTTGATCACGGCCTGAGTCTCTCGGGAGGGAGCATCCGGCTCACAGGGCTGCAGGAAGAGCGACTGGGACAGATGTGCGGAAAGCCCCAGGGATGGTCCAGGAGCGGAGAGCCGAGGCTTGGGCAGGGGGCCCAGGAGCCTGCACCCCTGCCACGGCCCTGCTCTCAAGAGGCTGGGAAACCCCGAGGGCTTCTCGGCAAGGAGTGGGTGCGCCCCTGCGCTTCTCTAAACATAGGCTGCTTCCTAGCATGGTTCTGGGTTCACTGGGACCTCGAGTGGAAAGGAAGGGAGTTCCCGCAGAGCCTGCCCCACGCCCCCCTCTCCTCCAGAGGCTGCCTGACACATGGGCGGTGCCTCGACACGGCTGTCCACGTGGCGGGACGCACGTGGGTACGTACGCAGACGTACCCCGGCCCTCTCCCTGGCCGCTGCGGGGCGGGCGGCGTCTGTGCGCGGCCCCCCAGCCCAGCCCCTCTGCCCACAGTGCTGGCCTACATGCAGCTGCTTGAGGACTACTCAGAGCCGCAGCCCTCCATGTTCTACCAGACGCCGCAGAAGGAGCACGTGTACCAGCAGAAGAACAAGCTGCTCATGGAGGTGTACGGCTTCAACGACTCCTTCAGCGCTGGCGACGCCCCGCACGAGCTTGCCCCGCCCCCCGCCCTGCCCCCCAAGCAGCGGCAGCTGGTAAGTGGGGGCGCCCCCCTCCAGAGGCCCAGGGTGCTGGGCCTGCTCTCCTGCTCGCATCTACCCCTGCAGGAGTGGCTCCTCCTCCAGAGCCGGCCCCTGCAGCTGGGACTGGCTTATACTCAGAATGTTTGCTTTCTCTGTGGACAGTCTTTTTTTTTCTCTGTCTCTTTTCTGTGGCTCCAATATAGACCTCCCTGAAAGGAGGGAGTCAGTCGGAGCACAGGGCAGGCTCTGTGTGGTGCCATCTGTGGACTCGATTTACATACTGGGCCGCACTACACAACCACTTGCACCCCCCAGCCGGGGCCAGCCCAGTGAGGACCAGCTCTGTGGAAGCGGGGTGACTGACACAGAGCCACTTTGTGTTTTGGGCCAGCACACCCTTCCTGTTTTAAAACCCCTCCTGTGTCAGGACGTGGTGTAGGCAGCACAGAGGGGCCCTCCGGCTGTGGGCAGGCTGGAGAGGCGCTGGGACCAGCGGAGGGCACTCGGGTGCACCTCTCAACCCTCTTCTCTCCGCCACCAGTTTACTAATCGCGTGGACTGTGGCCAGGCTCTAGAATCCAAGCGCCCCGTCCAGCTGAGCTCTCTAGGAAGATTACACCCGGGAGGGCCATCCGTCAGGGCTGCACTTGCTGTCTTGCTCTCGTGCCGGCTGGTCTGCTCGTGTCTTAACCAAAGAGGGCCGCCTTCATCCTCTGTGAGGGGACGCTGTCCTGGCTGTTCTGGGAGGCAGATGGCCAGACCTTGAAGGTCCTGAGGTCACTCCTGGAAGCTGCCTGGGCCTCAGCAGTCCTGCGACTGGGCCTTGAGCCCATGCCCGGTCCCGGAGTCGCCGAGCCTTGCCACACACAGTGGCCTCTGGGGCTGGGGCAGCCTGTCTCGTGGAAGGAGGGCCAGGCTCAGGCCAGGGGTCTGGGTTCCAGTCCTGCACTGACCAGCTGTGTCTCCCCAGCTGTGTTCAGGTCTCAGCTCTTCGCCTGCCCTGCTCTCCCCACAATGCCCGATTGTGAGTGTTGTTCACCACAGACACATAGATGCCTGCCCCAGGGACCCCTGACCTAACATGTTTGGTTAAACAGCTGGGCCAGTTTCATTGAGATCTGATTCTCTCAGCCCCTCCTGCTGGGTGCACAGGTACCCGTCGCCCGGCCCTGGGCGTCCTGTCTGTCCCATGTCCTGTCTCCCACAGGAGCCGAGCCCTGGGGAGAGAGCCCTGAGGGACCGCCTGAGTCCCAGCCCCAGTGAGAGCTGGCACAGCGCCTCACCTCGCAGTGGGGCGGCGGTCCAAGGGGCTCTCTGGAGAGAGGCTGCCAGGGGGCCCTGCAGGGTGGGCAGACATCCTGTGAATGTCCCCTCCCCATGGCCCCTGTCACCCCCTCTTTAAAGTGAGGCTGAGAGAGCTGGAGAGACGGGCTCAAAGCCCACAGCAGAAGTGGAAGCCCAGACACATGTGACACCCCCTGTGTGACCACTGGGCGCCCCTTCTCCAGTGCCATTGCAAGAAGTGTGACTGTTTTCCAGACAGAAGTGAGCATGACAGGTACACCTGTCGGCCCACGGGCCCTGAGGGCAGCCCGGTTCTAGGTGCTTTACGTGCACACAGCCATCTACCGGCAACCTGAGGTGCAGAGAGCGTCATGTGATGCCCGAGGCCAAGCCAGTCCCACATGACAAGGCCAAGATTAGGGCCCAGGCCGCCTGGCTCCTGCTCCGCACCACGAAGTGCAGTCGCTCCCACAGAGGAGTACTGGGGCCCTGAGGAAGCGGAGGAGCTGGGGTGCACATGCAAGTCCACGTGACTCCTTCCATCTTACCGGTGCTTCCAGTGGACACAGGAGTGAAGAGGGCACCCGCCCCCCAGCTCGCCTTTGACGGACGTCCTTGACCCCTTGCTGGGCCGAGAAGCCGTCCCTCTCCAGAAGGTCCTAGCAGATCGGGTAGCAGCCTGCCTCCTTTATGTGTACATGCCTGACTGTTCTCTGCTTTTCTCCCTCCTGCCCTGCCTCCTCCCTCGTTCCTCTGTCCAGCAGGCCTCCTATGCTGCTTCTTCCTTCTCCTCTGTCTCCTACTGTGTCCAGCAAACTAAAGTGGCCTTCACCCCCGAGGACGGCAGTGCCGGTCAGGGCATCAGTGTGTCCGTCTCTAACTCCTTTCTCAGCCGGCACGGCAGCTTACCTGTGCCCTCGGTGAGTTGCTCCCTGCACTCGCTACTGGGAACCTGGGGAGCAAGACCTTTCCCTCGTGGCCGATGCCTCCCGACATGCGTGCTGCTGCCCGTCGCCGGCTCCGGCCCTCCACAGACCCCAGACAGGAAAGGTGGCCTGAAGGTCGGTGTGAGTGGCTGGGGCGGGTTGGGGTGGGACTGTTAGCAGCCACGCTCAGAGCATCATCACTTAGGCGTAAGCTGGCAGAGATGTTTTGGCCTTTTTATTCTGTTCTCCTACTGGGTATTGAGTCAGCTGTGTAGTGTTCTGTGCTTAAAAAGGAATATTCCTCACTTAGGAAGCAGAGCAGGCTGTACCCAGTATGATAGAGCTGGAGTTAAGGGAGCTGCGTCAATTAGCTTTTGCTACCTCTTGCTACGTAACAAATCACCCCAAAACCTGTGGCTTAAAGAGCAGTAACCGTTTGTCCTTGCCGGAAAGTGAAAGTTGCTCAGTTGTGTCTGATTGTTTGTGACCCCATGGACTCTACAGTCCATGAAATTATCCAGGCCAGAATACTGGAGTGGGTAGCCTTTCCCTTTTCCAGGGTATCTTCCCAACCCAGGGATTGAACCCAGGTCTCCCACATTGCAGGCGGATTCTTTATCAGCTGAGCCACCGGGGAAGCCTTGCCTAGGACACAGCTTAGCAGCACAGCTGTGCTGATCGGGGCAGGCCTGGCTGCCAAGAGCTAGACTCGCCCACATCCCTGGCACTCCAGTGGGGACTAGTCTGGCAGTGACCCTCCTGACCCGTCCACTACATCAGGCCAGCCTGGACTTGTTCACAGGGCAGTCGGCTGGGCTCCAGGAAGACAGATGGGAACTTGCAGGCATCATAAGATCTCGACGTAGGGCTGGCATGCGTCCTCTGGGTCAGGCCCCAGGCGGTGCAGCCTGGGGAGGAGAGTGGACTCAACCTTCACTGGGCAAGGCCTTCCGCAGGTCACCCTGTGGAGGTGGGGCGGCAGGAGGAGGGCTGGCGCGGTGTCTGCAGACACGGAGACGCTGATGCCTTGGAGGCCACACAGGTCTGCTGTCTTCTTCTGGGATCTGCATCTGCTCAAGAACCTGACCACCCCCGCCTCCTGCTAACTCTGTCCAGTGACACCCTGGGTGTCAGGGCTTGGGAAAGGACTCTCCAGGGGAGCTTGGTGGACCCATCCCGAGGTGACTCACATCCTCCCAGGCCTCAAGTTCAGTTCTCTGGGGTGGCACTTTTCCTTGCCTCTTCTTCTGTGGATGGGAGGACTAAGTAAAATCACAGGAAACTTCCAGGCATGTAGTAAGCTTGGAACGTCTGTCATTATTGCTCTTGTCTTAAGAGCTCTGCGTTCTAGTCTTGGCTTGTTCTGGTCCTGTGCATGAGTGCCTGGGCAGATGTCTTCATCTGCCTGGACTCCCTTTGCCCTCTTGAGTGACCAGGTTGACCTGGTGACGTCAGGGCCCTCGCCAAGTGTGGGTTCCCAGTGTCGTCTTGTCCGGTCTCCATATTTGGGAGCCACCCAGCACCCAGGTGAAGCTGGTCCTCCCCATTGAGGGGACCTCGGGATGCAGTCTTCCCTTTAGCGCCCAGACCTCGCCGGGTGAGGCAGGACCACTCCCCATCCCTCCCCGGCTCTGGTGCACAGGCGCCCTCTGTTTCCTCAGCAGCGCCCTCTGTTTCCTCAGCAGCCACCTCCGGCAGCTCTTTTCACAGATCTTGCAAAACTTGGCCTTGAGACAATCCTAGGTCTTGATGTGTTTTTTTTCCCCCCTTCCCCTCTGTGAATAGAAAGTAAGTGTAAGTTTTCCTAAGAATGTCTACAACATCCCTTTTGAGTAGTTTGGGGAGAAGACTGAATGAACTGGACTGTATACTATAGAATTAAGAAGAATTCGAGGACATTTTAATTAAGCTGGGGTATGAGTGTGTCATAGTTTCCCCTCAGCACACAGGAGTCTTACAGCATGCTGCATCTCAGCGCCAGCTCCTCAAAGGGGCCCGAGGGGAGCGAGCTAAGAAGGTCGCTTTACTTCACTTGAAGCGGAGCCTCCAGAGATGTTAGTAATGGCCTAAATATATGGAGTACTTGACATCTGAAATGCAGAAAGCCCGGAGAAATGATTTAGCCATAATACCAGTATGTTTTCCATGTATATTCTCTGCTTACATTTTGAGATGAGCCCCAGACAGAGGGCTTTGATGTGCTCTTGGAGCAGCGCTTTATTGCCAAATGTCTTTGTTCCTTCATCCCTGGACTTGTGTCATCAGTCCAGCATGGAATTCCCAAGAGCTGCCTCATAGGAAAATAGCAGGTGCCAAAACTGAAGTTCTTTGCCCAGTGACCAGGAAGATTGAAAACCTTGCCAAGGGAATTGTAGAGCAGTGAACCTGCACTGATCAGTTTAAAATGAAGGAGGTGCTAAAGAAGCATTCTTATTCACTTTTCCTGGGATCCCACGGAGGGTTTATTTTGGTAAGAACGGAGCCACTCCCAGTGTGGGTCAGGCAGCCAGAAGGATCCAGCACGAGCAGGACGGCCCGTCGTCCTTGAGAAGCCCATGCAAGGGAGAAGGCAGAGTGAGTCAAGCGGAAAGGAGACTCCGATTCAGGCAGGGCGTGGGCAGCAGTGAGAGTCACAGACGTCTGGGGACGGCTGTGGGCAGTGGAGGCAGGGTGGTGGCAGGAGGGGGCGCTTGAGTTGTGGTCTGAAGGCCCGTTAAGATTTCAGGGAGATGAAGGTCAGTGAGGGGCCTGCCTGAAGGTGAGGAGTAGAAGCTTGTCTCAAGTGTGAACTCTCAGGACTGAGGTCCAGGGAGAGCGGCTGGAGGGGTGACAGCAGCCAGCCCTTCGCGCACCCCGCCCCTCAGCCAAAGCCTGCTGCTCCCTCCCGGGTGCTGCCCTCTGGGCTCGGGCCCAGCTTTGACCGCTCTTTCCCCGCTTGTCCCCAGATGTGTTCCTGCTCGTGTTCCTGGGAGGTGCCCACCCTCCTTTTCACAATCTTTGTCTGGGTCTGCTTAGCCCCCAGTCCACAGACCCCCTTTCCTTCCTGGCGTGCACTATAATTCTAGGAGACTTGAACAGCTACCCAGACATGTGGCGTCTGGGACATTAAGGCCGGTTTTGTAGAAGAAGGTGTTCAGGGAAATGATGAGCTACTGTGAGGCCAGAACAATGTGGAAAGCTAGGTGCAGCCACCCCCCAGGCTTGGACACCCCCTCATGCCTTGCAGTATGCCTGCCCCTTGGTGGCACGGGTAAGTGTTTGAGTGATGGGCCCCCCTGAGATACACCTCTCAGATGTGGTGCTGTTGTCCTCCTCCTGCCCCTGGATTCTCCTCCATCACTCGTACCCCCGGCCGTCTGCCCTGTCCTCACTGCAGCCTTGCCCGTGCTGGCTGCCTGACTCCCACCTCTCCCCAAACTCCCATCCCTCCAGCACCAGTCCTTCCCCTACCACCCTGGATTCCCACTGCTGTTCCCACTGTGACCCTTCTTGGGCTTGCATTTTCTCCATTCTGATCCCTAGTGGTGCGAAATCTTGGAAGCTCTGAGTTGGGTCCATATTCACTTTACCCTTGACCAACGTATTATTGGGAATCTATTAATAATCATGAGGGTTTCCAGTCCTCCAGACATTACAACACTGGTGTTATAAAAGCCACCATCCTCCATGCCTATTCTTTCTTGGCTCACTGATATTTACTGTCACCGAGAGATATAGCTGGATGCTAGGAGTCTGTTGAAATATTTTCTTTACCATCTTGGCTTCCAAAATGATTCTGGAGAAGCAAAACTTCCAGAAGACCCAGAAGAAGAACTTCAGAAATACCCATAATAACTGTCTTCTGTGTTTAAAAATCTTCTGGGTAAGAAAGTCGTGTGTGTCCTGTTGAGGACTTCAGTTTAAAGGGGGACAGCGTGTGGAGCCACTGGCCGTGATCCTCTGAGAGCCAGGCCGGGCTTCTATGCTGCAGCACACAGGCCCTTCTAGGACCCTGCCCCGGGAGAGGCTCGCTCTGTCCGCCCCGCTCCTTGGCCTCCTGTCACCAGCCATCACTGAGACAAAGGTCGAAAGGCCAAACGGAAGGAGAGGGAGATAGGAAGGAAGACTGTGGACCACAGCAGGTGAGGGAGGGAGGTAGGAAGGAAGACTGTGGACCACACAGCAGGTGACGGAGGGAGATAGGAAGGAAGACTGTGGACCACACAGGTGTGTCCTCCTGCTGGTTAAGTAGGCTCCCGCCTCCCCCTTCTGTCCCTATGTCTTCCTGACATCATCTTTTCCTCACTGCTTCCTGCCTGGCCAGAGCGAACTTAACTCTGAGAGAGGAGGGTCTGTGGGCAGCACCGGGGGCCCAGGGCAGGCAGGTTCGTCTCTGAGCTGACCTCTCTTGGGCACTTTGTTCTTTCAGCCTGCCTAACCTTCCAAGGTTTCCTAGAGAGTGGCCCCCAGCACCGTCAGCAGTGGGAAAAGCAGGGCTGTTATGCCAGCCGTGCAAGAGTCTTTGCAGGCCCCTCTGAGTCTGGCCTGAGATCTTCACAGTCTTTTCCGGCCTGCTGGGCCCTTGAAATGCAATGTGGCTCCTCCGGAACATTCCCCCATGCCTTTCTGCCCTTCTTCAATAACCAGGTGCCCGTGTGGCCAGCGCTTCCCTGAAGTGTGACCTCCGAGTTCACTGCCACTCCAAGCCCAGACACGGCCTTGTAAGAAGGAGGCATGGGAGGGCCAGCACTCTTGGGGGCTCCTAACCCACTCAGGTATAGGTAGAAGCCTGGCTCTGTGTCAGGCCCCCACCCTGAGCCCAGGGTGAGCCCACCTCGCCTGCGGTGGACACCCAAGGGCCAAGGACCAGGGCTTAGGGATCTTGTCCTGGGGGCTCGCCAAAGCAGCTGCTCCGCCCCCTCTGTTTCTGTCCCTCCTTCTGAAGACTCCCTGACTCTTGTTGCTGCTCATGTCATTGTGGACAGTCAGCGCTCGCAGACTAGCTTCAGACAGGT